AAGAAAAACTACATAAAAAGAAGAAGGTAAGACACTGCTGAGGGAGGCAATACCAGAAGGAGGACACAAGGTGAGAGATGAGCAGAACTGAGGAGGGAGAGAGGCTTGTTCATTAGCTAGGTTTGCATGGACACAAGTCATCGGGTTAAACGGCCATTCGGAATAAAAATACGTCACGTAAACGCCCCATTTGGATTATTTTTTGTTTATCCAGCGCGATCCGAAAGAATCTGTAATCAGAACGAAACGGGTGGTTCACGTCGATCCTTAACCCGAACGGTGTGCATGCAAACACCTAATCTATTTATTATTTTTCCGATCATGAAAAACTGACCTGACTGCGCATGTGTGGCCGATGTCATTTCCGCCTAGCTAATGCTAATAATATTAGCATGTCGGGGAAGCAAAACTGGTCGGTGAGCGACAACATTTCTACTAGAAACTTTGAAAGAGCTCAAAATGATCTGTGTCACCTGTAGCTCAGTCAGGGAGTGCAGAAACGTCTCCACCGTCATTAAAACCTGTCGCAGATCCATTTTGGTGCTCAGCTGTGATTACGTTCATCCCGGAAATAAACCGGAAGTAGAACTTCTTCGTCAATGTTTTTTGTGTTTTTTTTAAGGAGAGTTTACCACTCTGTGCATGTCGGTACTTCTGTTCAGAACAAAGCTCACACTGCATGTAAACGCTCGTCGTGAATGAATTGTGCCATGTAAAGTTAAACGACACATTTGAATTATTTAATCTGAAAACATTTCAATCCAGTCAAAGAATTTTGCGTATGTAAACATAGCTTCTGTGTCCTTCGAGTCCGAGCTGTGCAAGGCAGCAAGTTGTGTCTCGTCAACGGAGCAGTCTCGACACATTACAGGAAACTTGTATTGTTCTATACAAGCTGCCCCCCAATAACAAGAAAAAAAGAACTGAACAATCCCCGAGGAAAAGGCAGGAGGGAGCAGATTTTTACTTTGAGACAAACGACTCTAAACTGTGAGAAAGTGCCTGTAAAACACAAAGTAATAAATGTGAGGGCGAAACGCTCAATCTTCCTTCAGCACTTTGCTTTCTGACAGGTTCATGGCACCTTGAGCTCTAAAGTCAAAGGAAAAGCCTGATGTATCGCTCCGCTGAACAGAACTGTACAAGAATCAAGGCACGTACTCTGAAGAGCTACGTACTTCCACTAATCTGGGTGAACAAAAAATGCTCAGCCCAGTTCCACTTAGGGATATTTGATAAAGAGATAAAAGAGTTTCTATGACTACCACATGCACAATGCCACTTTATTATATTAGCACAATATGTGGGGAACAAAATTTCTGTGATTGTTTTGTAAATTTAGAATATAAATGACTCATTTAGGCCACCTGCCTGGTCAGAGAGAATACCCTAAATGTATCCGACATAAAGCTGGGTTTGCATTTTGGCTCTTTAAAACTAAATATTTTGTTTTAAAAAAAAAAAGGTCAAGAAAATGGTCATAGTTCAGAACTCACCAACCGATGATTCAGCTTTCTTACAACCAAAGATGACGGACAACAAATATCAAGAAGTGCCAGAAATATTCAGGGAATATCAAGTAGTCTGATTGCTACAGCAGCAGTTAAGTTTACCCAGCCACGAGCCGTTCAAAGCGGTCGCTTTTTAGTTGTCAAAATCTTGTTGTACAATGACAATAAAAAACCCTTATCTTATATATCTCTATTTAGTGCCCAAATGTTGGGCTAATATCCAGACAGATCTTTGTAACACTCGATTCTACTAACGCTATGACTCGTACAGGCAGGCGTCTATTAAATTTTGAAATTGTACAATGTGACATGGGGTTACCATCAATATTTGAGAGCTCAAGCTCGCACAGCATCTGTCATCGTTCATGACAGCAGACAGTCTCATAGCGAGCCAAGCTGAAGACAGGCAACAAGATTCTCTCTTACTTTGAGGAATACATGCTAAAGCTAAAAATGAATGGATTTTCTAATCATTAAAGTTGTAGCTCCTCCAGTTGAATATAAAAACAACTTGTTTAGTAGTCTACAGTTCATCTGCTTCTTCAAAAAAAAATTGTTTACTTCATTTGTTATTCAGGTTTCCTCGTCTTCGAGTTGTGTCTAAAACCTCTTTTTTTTTATAAAATCGTTATGCAAACGGAGACAAGCAAACAGGAACAAAGGATTTTATCTGGGATTTAGCTGCATCTTTACTGCACTACTCAATTAAACTGCCTTTTTTTATATTTACCATTAAAAAGTTTAATACAAACTTTGATTTAAAAAAGCTACAGGAGAAACAATAAAACTACCTGTTAAATTAAAAATATGTTAATTAAATGTAGAAAGGTCTGCAGCGACGTTACTTAAGCAAACTGACATGAAGATGTAAACTGTAGTTTACAAAATTGCAGCCAAACAGTAGATAGCAGGAACAGTGTGTTCCGAGATGCACGCAGTAGTTTCTAAATATGGGCAAAATAGGTCAAATAACCCCCTGGATTTCCCGACAATAATGACTTTACAAGAAACTCATTACTGGAAGGAGTAGATAAATGTACCGGGTAAATATCCAGTGGGGAAGACGCAACAAAACATTTGTTTGTGAGAGTAGATACCAGATTTTATTCCTGATGTTGTGAAATACGTGTTTGAATTTTTTGGAAAGTTTTGTCCAACTCCTGCACTAATTGCTGCAACAGGAAATGTCTGTTAAAAGGACACTTAGCGGAGCATGTGTACAAACTGATGACCAGATAGTGCTGGGGATAAGCAGATAGCCTGAAAAAAGGTCAGATCAGTGTGATACCAAGATATTTCATTTTATTTCCTTATTGTTCTGCTAAAGACTACTACTATTTTACAGTAAAAGTGTGCAAAAATGATTTCAAGATTAGTCCCGTGAATCAAAACAACTGAGCTGCTGCCAGTTGAAACCAGAACGCTGACAAGCTGAAGGGACTTCCCACAGCTTGAGGTGGGACTCAGCGGTGGCAGGAAACACGAGTTTGTTCACATTAAGTGCCAAAGGAACACCAACACCAATTCTTGGCATTGTTTGAGGAAGGTCACAACACAAAACAGCATTAAAAAGTAAATTCGAACCACACGGGCAAATTTCTCCTTTGATTTTGGAGGAGATTGCACATTTACAAATACAAAAACATTTAGAAACAGTTGCAATTTTTGAAGCTTGTTGTCCCAGGAGCACAAAGTACGTCCTTATTTCAAAAGTACGTTTGACTAAAATGATGCAACCAAGTTTTTTGGAGCAATATGAATAAAGAAGCTAAAAACAAACCAGAAAGGCAGAGTTTGAAGCCAGTCAGGCGATTAAACCCACACCAGCTCCGACCCCGAAATGAGGGGCAGGTGGGCGGTCTGGACTTACAGGCAAAGGCGAGGAGAAAGGCTGATTTCTAATTAAAAAGGTGTGAAGTGAGCCGAGGAAAGGAATGAACAACAAGAACATGTTTTGTGTTTGATACAGCAGCCTCATTTCTGAAATGTGACTGTAACCAGAACTTATTTCATTATATTTCAAGACAAGATAATGTTCATGTAAAATATGACAAAACATTGTGTTTTGCAGCTTCTTACAGTCAAAAAGCTGATGTATTCATTACAACTTGACATATGTAATGATCTTAAACTCAAAGGAACAACTTCTAACATAAAATGCTGTAAAATCAGTGGTTTGGCATTTTGCTTGAAAAGTGACTAAAATATCATTACTGGCTACAAAAATAATTACGAATTAATGCTCATCTCTAAATGAAAAACCTCGTCACTAAAGATGGAAACAAAAACACACTTGGGAACTATCAACACTGCAAAATGTAATAACAAATCTAAAATAGCTCTGCGTTTATTCCTTGCTGTTTTCTTTGAAAAATACTAATCTAGAAAGTGAAACTAGGCCTAGAGGTGTAACTGGATTGTTTAATAGAAGAAAAATCCAGATTATAAAACAAGTTTGACAGTAAAGCCCATCTCACGATAGCAGAGTTGGCTCCAGCCTACATTTAAGAAGGTCTGAAGGAAAACAGGGGTATCAAAAAACCCAAGCATCTCAACTGAGAAGAGACCTGCACTCCACAAAAACACAAAAGCACATCCAGTGGAGGAAAACATTTTTCAATCTACCGTATATTTTTCTTTCTCTTAATGAGTTAGACTTGTTGAAATAGAGCCAGAGGTTTACTTTTAGGAAGGAAAATAAAAAAAAGAGTGTTGCTGCAAAGTAAAAGGACGTGCAGGAGTTGTAATGTGGCTTAAAATTATTGATTTAAACTCTTTTAGAAAGAAAATCAGAACAGTAAAGAAAACGCGTATCTCAAAAGCAGGAAATCCTTAACTAATAGTGCAAACGAGAGGTTATCGGCTGAAAACACTCCTGTGAAGTGTGTGTAATGTAAGGTGTTTTTATATCCTTTCTCTTCTGGACAGCAGGAAGCTGAGGAGCGTGCAGGACAGCAGGCAGATACTTGGGTCCGCTCCCAGAGGAAGTATCTGGGACAGCTTAACACTGAGACTTTCTTCATCGATATATATGCAAAACACTTTCTTTTCTCACTTATTACCGCTCGTCCTCCAGTTTCCGCTTTCATATTGCTCATCCCTAACCTTTTAAACTATCTGCTGGTGTCATCAGAAACATTAACTCATGCATAACAGTAATTACACGAGGAAGTACGCATGTGCTTTTCAAACAAACAGCGATGCCCGACTTGTCAAGCTTCCAATAAACATGGATAAAAGGTTAAAGGTTGTTATCACTTATTCATTCTGTTATTCCTCGATTATAATGGTCTGTATATAATGGATAAACCATGCTTCTGTTGGAATAAGGCAAACACGTGGGAGAGCTTAAAACAACATGGAAACCCCCTTACAAGTGTTTAAACAATTCATCAAGGAGTCAAACGTAGTATGCACCATGTGTTAAAAAGGGAGAACATCTGTGGATAAAAAACTGTGCATGTGTGTGTGTGTGTTTGCTAAACGCACCCTCCTCTTCAGACGATCCCTCTCCCTCAGCGTGAGTGTATCAGCCTTTGCAATAACTGGAACGATGTTGACTTTGCTGTGGATGGCCTTCATAAACTCCACATCCAGGGGCTTCAGACTAGGAGGAAAAAAGGAGATTGACTGGGACAAAAATCAAATGTGCATTTAAAAATAAACATGGACATTGTGCAACTTACAATTAAATGACAGTGCTAGGAGAGAAAAGCAGATCTCTAAAAGAGGAAACTATATTTTTATCATTGAACTGTCACAAAAGAAGCAGTGTTCAGCATGAAGCTTCACAAAAAAGATGTCTTCAAACTGAGGAAGTTCTGCTTTTGTTACATTAGACAAAGTAATAGTATTGTGCTGTATAAATCTATCTTCTAATCAAAATGAAACTAAGTCGTTGCATTCATGAAACGTGTTTTTTCAACTTTTCTTACCCGTGTCCTAAAGGAGAAATGAAATAAAAGCAGCAGTGCACTCGGTTGTCCACTATGTGCCTTCTGTTCAGCCCACTTTCATCGTGAAGGTATCGCTCAAACTGATTGTCAATGTACTGGATGATTGTCTTAAAGCTGATGTTAAAAAAAAAAAAAAAAAGAGAGCGAGAGAGAAACTGTAATTAAAATGTTATTTTTAAACAATAAACCAGTTTTAAGTGTACTAAAAAGCACTCGCACAAGCAGTAAGCAGTCTTTAAAAACTTTAAATGATTACAAAAAACTGACTGGACCTTTACAAAAATTAATCACAGCTTGATTTCTCTGTTAGATAATGGCTGTGACCGTTGTTACAAAATCTCCAGATCTTTGATAGATGGATAGAGTAATTTCAAGTTTGTTTCAGGATCTTCTATGTATCTCGCAATCTTTGACCCAACTACATAAAGACATTCAGGGCTGTTGTTGATACAGCTTCTGAAATCAAGTATACCGAATAGTTGTTAACTTGCTATTTTTGCCATTTGAAACAAGAGTAGATGTCATTGCCTCACCCTCCATATCTTATTCATGCATAGAACCATTCGTGTTGAACCCGAGTTTAGTGTGAAACTGAAGCCTAAAAGTGGCATGTCACCGAGCTACAGCTGTTGGGGCACGTGGATTTTTTCCCTTTCAGTCTTGATGAATACGAAGTGCGAATTTATAATAATAATTTTAGTTTTGCATCTGTGTGGTTTTTAAACCTGGACATTCATGGCTCTAGCTTTGGATGATTTCTGTCAGAGTACAGCCAGGTGTCAAAATACAGCTCTAGTGCTCCTGAAGTAATTTCAGGTGGGCTGAAGATGCCTACAAAGACTTTCTGACTACATGTATTTTGAAAGAAAAGTTGCCAAATTTTATGAACATGTTCAAAACTCAAGGACTGCATGCCTCTGCATCTCACACAAGGAAGTTGAGAACCTCACAAAGGTCACAAGACATTTTAGAGACATCTGTTCTCCAACTAGTTGCAGCCTGGGGAAATACAATCTTAAATACCTCATCTACAATGTACTATTTATTACATGTGAGCAGTTCTTAATTAAAAACTCTCTCTCCTTCTTTCGGCTGCTCCCTTCTTCAGGGGTCGCCACAGCGAACTAAGTCGCACTAAGACTTGGCGATTATTTTTACACCGGCTGTCCTTCCTGATGCAACCACAGACCACCGAGCTACCACAGCCCTCTGCGTGGAGCAGAGAGCTGCCATCTAGGGCGCCCGGGGGAGCAGATGGTGGGGGTTAAGGGCCTTGCTCAAGGGCCCAGAGTGGGGTAAATGAGGGTGGAGGCAGGTGGGTGCTTCACCGATCCCACCAACATTTTGATGTTGTCGGTACCGGGAGTTGAACCGGCGATCTTCCGATCACAGGCCCACCTTCTCTAACTTCTGCACCACCACTCCCAGCAGTTCTTGATTCAAACTGCCTCGTCAACATAAGTGACTTGTTTTTCTGCTCCTACGGCTTCTTAATAAAATTTGAATAAAAAAAGTACAAAAAAACCAACAACCTGTCAATCATTTCAGAAAGTTAAACACCGAATGACAATGAACATTTTTTTAATCTGTAAGCCATAATCATAAAAATGACAAGAAATAAAGGCTTGAAATCTTTCACTCTGTGTAATAATAAATCTATATAATCCGAGTTTCACTTTCTGAAATGATTGACGAAATAATTACACTTTTTTCCACAATGTCCAATATTTTTAGATTCACCTGTACGTATAAAAACACATCCAGACCAAGAACATTAAGCAGGAGATACACAAACCTGACAAAATATCAAAATATATTGCCACTCTTGATCTATAGCTGCTAAACAAATAAACATAAATCCAGATATGACACATCCACAAAGACGCACAAAAAGTAGAAAGTTATCTGGCTATGAGAAAACAAAAAGAGTAGGGAGAGCTACAAGACAGACGTAAAGGATGAGAAAGAATAGCCGACATTTTATACCACTCCTAAACAACTCATAAACACACCAGCCTTGGCTGTCGATGGCGTCGCCATATCCAGGGGTGTCGACCACCGTGAGTCGAAGCTTCACCCCTCTCTCCTCAATTTCAACAGTAGACGCCTCGATTTGCACTGTCCGCTCAATTTTCTCTGTGGAGGTCAAGGCATGAAAACAACAACAAATTAAATAATAAAAACGGTTATAGTTATGGCGATTTTAATAATTTCCCTTGGACAAGCAGAGCCTGAATGTTCAGCTGTTAAATGAAATAGTTGCATATCTTATCTGTAGTTTGATTTTTTTTTTTTGTTCAAAGTTCAACAGCTGAATGAACAATAATGTTGACTTCTTGCACAAGCTGCTTAGATGTAACAACAGCACCTTTCAGAAAAGTGGACATGCCTTAAAAACTAAATTACGGACCAACGACTACACTAACTGACCAGAGAGGGCTTGGTTAACTGATTTAAGTAGGAACAAATCCTAATCCAAGTCAAGTCATAAGAAAGGTATGGTACTTTTTGAAGATCACAACATTCTCAACATTCCTTGTGAAATAATGCTCATTTGTTCATTATTACAGTGTGTTTGTGTGTGCATTTACCTGCAGCACCAGGGATGTAGCGCTCAGGGTACAGATCGGTGAGAAACAGGCTATTTATAAGTGTTGATTTGCCCAAACCAGACTCCCCTGAAAAAAACTAAACGTAAATTATCTGTGCTTCAAAGTTTACATTAAAAGTTAAGCATAATCACTCACCTACAACCATGAGGGTAAATTCAAAACCCTTCTTCACTGACTTTCGGTGCACTTGGTTTGGGAGGTTTGCAAACCCAACATAACCTGTTGCATCTGGGAACTAGAAAACAAAACAAACAAAAAAAATCATTTTTTTACTTTTTGGAAATAAATTTATATGTGCTGCAGCACAAAGGATGGGAGAGCAAAGTTAAAATTATTTGGAGGATATTTTTATATTTTAACAAGCCATTCAGTACATAAATGTGTCATTTCTCATTTTATGAAGTTATTTAAGTGAATTTGAAACCATTAGTAATGCATAATGGTGAGAAATTCTGGCAGGCAATGAAGTCGAGCCATGAAACTCTTTCATTTATACAGGAAATCCTTTGTGGATGCATGTGCAAGCATTGTGAAGACATCAGCAGCCCAATGTTTTTTCACATGTCTCATTAGGAAGTTCTCATATTTATATATATTTTGTCCAGCTGTTGAAATTTGGTGTACAAACTCTAACGTGGAGACTTTCTGTCCTATTACTCACCTTCCCTTTTTCTCCAGACTGAGACATCACTACTTTTTATTGGGTTGTCTGATGAGCCTGCAGGTGAAAACAAAAAGGAAAAGATTTTGTGAAACTTCGTGGAAAAAATATAATTCATGCCAATCTTTGACAAAAAAAAAAAAAAAGTCTCTTTTCCATAAAGGTTTTAAAAGCAAGATAGTCCTGTGGCTAGGTTTATATTTACATCACATAAATTAGATCTATTAAACATTAAAATATCCTCTATGAAGTGATTTGCACATTTAGATCAGAAGTCCTGCCAGGACATGCTGATGGCTACACCTTTATTTCTCCAACTCCCATCAGACTGCTACAGTCCTTTCCCTCTCCATGACCTCAAGCAGACGGCAGAGGAACCAAACTAACTGATAAATCAGCAATGTGATGACTGAGCAGTTGGAACCAGCTCAGTTTTTATCACAAAAACATCGGCCCTTGAGCCAAAGCGTGATTGCTGGAAGGATGCAGGCTGTCATGCGGAATGGAGATGCACTGCAATTAAATAATAACCACATGAGAAAGAGGTAGGCTGGGAAACTGATGTGTTGTCTGTGGACATTTGACAAACCCAACTTTGTGGGTACTTGGGGAACTTTTACATGCAGTTAAATGTATTTGATGGTACATGTGGCACAGTTTTCTACGTATTTACAAGAAAGTTATACTGACAGGGTGGTTTCAACAAGCCTGCAGGGAGAACAATGGCTGTTTATCCCATTGGTTCCTGAAGCTTTTCCTATATAGAACAGCTCAAATGAGGGAGGAGGGAAAACACATCGACCGAAAGAAAAACTGGCCCAAGAGAAAAATCCTTTGAAAATATTTGGATGCAATAAGTTTGAAAAGCAGGAATAATTGACTGTACAAAATAATGTGTCGATCCACTTTAGAATAATAGCAATATTTCATCTGATATGAGCAGCAAAGTTGTAGGATTTATCTTCTTGTCAACGAAGACATTCATATCAAATTATGGCAAACCTTTAAGTAGCTCAAACAATCCCAGACATAAAAACCAATTAACTGACTCACTGCTTTGAGTTTGAGTACAGCGTAATCATTGGTTTCAGGCCTAAAAACACAATAATAAAATGTGTTTTCTTTCTTAATGGACGTCTAAGCTAACACTGCAGCCTATGCAAAAGTACTCATGTGCATCAAACATTCACATACCCCAAGTGTTATTCCTCTTGAAGCTCTGTGGGAACCAACTTTAGGCCGACAGCAGATTAATTAAGCCGTTCCAATATTGCAGTTGTAATCACACAAAGACAACACTACAGGACAGACAGGCAGGAGAGTACACTTCAGTAACGCTTTCTTAATAATGGCCATTTAATCAGCCAGACTGTTGAGTTTTGTTACACACACACGTAGTCTTCAATGGGCTACGCTTGTGGGAGATTAAACCGTTCGAATCCAAAAGGGGGAAATACCACCTCAGTAAAGCAAAGGTGCTTGGCATGTGTTACAAGTTTACAGTTAATTAGATGGAGTGAAGCCATGAAGGTTATAAAAGTCCAGCTCCATGCATGGGGCAGAAAAAGTTAGAATAGGTCAACTTTTATTTGTCTGTACTTTGTCCACTTGTTAGAAACACAGAAACTGTGATTCCACAACAACGAGGCTTGCTGAACCCTGTCATAACAAGAAAACGGCCAAAGGATCGCAGAAAGAGACGTCAGAGCTACTGGACATAATGAAGCCATGTGTGACTCATGCAGTTTGGAGAATAAGTGTAGTCTGTGGGCAGTAGTGTTGTAATAAAAACATAATAACAGTTTAATAAGATAATCTTGGTGGGGGGACCACACAGAAACAATAAGTAAACAAGAAGTCTGTTTTTAATGTAATTAAAAGCAAAGAACAAATGATTCATAACAAAGAGAACATGAAATTAACTTAAAAAACAAGTACAAGTTAGTTTCTTGCATAAATTACTTAAAAATGGTAACTGTAAAAGAAGGTGGTGATATTTTCTTCATAGTTTACATTAAACTTTAAATATTTGGTATGTCTTTTAACCAACTATTGTGTTCACAAATTGATTCTCTTTCTCTGCTAACCTAATCACTGGGGTATATTACTTACTTGCTCCCAGTGGTTTTGTTTAAAAGCTAAGGAAGCTCAACAATTAATACTTTTGTAGACAATTACAGGAAAAAACAACATTTTATTGTATGATCTTGAAGTTTGATTGAACTCAAATCACTGACAATTTTAGGCAGAGAGGGCAACAGGACTGTCCTGAAGGATGTCACAGACACAACACCTGTAGATGTTCTTGGGTTTTGCAGCTGTCTGGGAAGGAAAAACTTTGCTGCAAAGGGTGGTATTATCCAAGACGGACTCAGGAAATATCCATCAATGAAAATGATCCCATCTAAAGAACTAAAAGTGATTTAGCAGCTTTGATAAGACAAATAGAATTGTTAATTTTTTTTTCTTTTAAGAATCACAACAGAAAGCTTTACTCTAAGAAATTCAACAGTTTCACTAACACAAACGGTGTAAATTGAAGAAGGTATAACGTCGAGTCACCAGTCTTGTTTAAGATTATCATAATATATCAGCTATGACCATTTTTCTTGTTAATAAACTAAACCATGTGCCTTTAGGGGTAATGGTTTGTCTGTTTTAACCTTCAAACTTGGGTGTGTAAAATCAAAATGCAAAACTTTTACGATGAAAATCCAGGTTTATTTTGCCTGCCATTGTGACATTGTTCTATTTACATCACAACACAAACCAAGAGGAAACATCCCATGGTAATTTATAGGGTCAGACAGATAGGTCCCTTGGTGTTCATGTTTCAGAGGTAATATCACAGGAAGGAGAAGAGGTCAGAAAACTGTAAAAGAGCTGGATTAAAAGTCTTCGTTGATAAGAAACATTCTTCGGATATCAAATATACCTATGATAAGCCGAATAAAAACCCAAATTGTTTTCTGTAGTAAGGATCAGCTGTTCCCCTGAGATTACAGCTCACCATGTCTGCCACCGTGTTCACTCATCTGCAAGAACCAAAGGTGCATGTCCCCACCGAGCCAAAAACACAAACAAGATGGATGATTATTCTTCAATAGTGGCCCTCCGCCACATCTCAGACATGTAATAAAAGCTTGTTATCGTTTCCCATTGTTATTGTCAAGTTGTCTGAAAGCAGAATTGATTATTTTTGTGATAATGTGTGGCGGTTTCTGAGTTCAGAAGTTACACAATGGGAGTTTTTATTTATTTGTAACAGGCACAAAAGTCTTGTTTGTTTGTTTTTCCAGGCAAAATATTTGATTTTTTTGTTGCCCTTTTTGAGGATTTTCTAGTACTTTAATTTAAAATTTAGTTTTTATATGAAAACATAAACTTTGAATTTCTCTGCACATGACTTAAATGAGTCAATACAGAAGTATCCCAATAAGTAAAACAGTGTGTAAAATTTTAACTATTTAGGGTTTTAAGAGAATAAGAGTGGTAAGTTTTTGTATGAACACCTGGGATAAGCAGAGAGGGAGAATAATAATAATAATATTAAAAACTTTTCAGGCAGGTTTATTGTGAGGGCCTGACAGCTCGTATCCACCACACCCAGTCTCTATCTGACGCTCATAGCGCCGCTAAACATCACAACTGCCGCAAAAGTCGCTGTCGTTTTTACATGTGTGGTTTAGGTGAACACATCGCAGTTGTTTGTGCTTTGAAACGACGTCCAATGAACGTGAAATAAGTATAACACAGAAATGGAAACCAGTTTAACGGAGCATGCCAAACTTTAGCACGCAACAGTTGTTACCGAGGCTGCTGTCGAGCTCCCAGCTCGGCTTCGACAAACTCTCCGGATTTACTTTTTTTAATGTATTTATTTTTCATCATGTTCCAACTAAGATTGTTTATCTTAAAACAACTGCCGAGCAGTGTCTTACCTGTGCGTAACTTTGAGATATTATTGATGAAACGGAGCCTTTATCCTGTTGCTACTGTCCCAGCCCAGGAAGGGAAAACACGGAAACTTCTTCCCAAAGTCCGCCCTAGCTAGCTAGTCGCCGGCTAACATGTAGCGTCACTGACGCCATTACGGCTCAACCCAGAGGACTCGACTCAACCGCTGGAGGAGGAGTTTAGATCCAAGATGGCTACCGCAGTATTTCAGTTTCTCAGAGCGCCTGCTTTGTAGCGGGGGTGACATGTATTATTTGTGGTTGTTTAAAATAAATTGATCGTGGCTGAAATATGTTATCGCTTACTGTGATTATTGATTCTATCGAGTGTTTTACACAAACTGATTATAAAGTTAGTGTGAAAAATGTATGATTTTGACTTATTTTCAGTCTTTGAGTCAATCACTGTTCATTCAATCAACAGTAGCCTACCTGAATTTTATTATTATTAACATTATTAATATTGTTGCTGTCATTCTATTTTAATATAATTTAATACTGTTTTTTAATCATTTAATTAATATTGATATTTTATTTTAAGGTTTTCTTCAAAAAGCAAAAAACCTGTTCTAAGTTGATTTATAATTTGCTGAGGAGGAGAGAGGGCATCCTAAAATAAACAGAATCAGTGTGAGCTGAAACAATGTTGGCACTGTTGAGGTCTTCAAACTATGAGAAACAACCTTCAAACACTTAGCTCAAAAACTGCCTCAACTCGAGATTTGCTGGTGAAGATTCTCAGTCATCCAGGACATGATGAATTCAAAAAACGTTCAATACAAATCTGTTTGTAATCTGTTTGGTTTCAGATGGAGAGAGAGGACAGCCTCAACATTGAAGTTTACAGAAAACCAACCCACACAGACCAGTATCTTCTGTTTGACTCCCACCATCCACTGGAACACAAACTCTCTGTCATCAGAACTTTACAACATCGGGCCGAATGCGTCCCCACGAAGACAGAAGGTAAGGAAAAGGAAGAGAAACACATTCAAGAAGCTCTTCAAACATGTGGATATCCTAACTGGGCTTTTGTCAAGTCAGTGAGGAAATCTACAAAACACACCAATAAACAGAAAAAGGAGAACAACAGACGTAAAAACATTGTCATCCCTTATGTTGCTGGAGTATTAGAGAAATTCAGAAGGATCTTCAACAAACACAAAATCCCAGTACATTTCAAACCCAGCAGGACTCTCAGACAGAGGCTGGTCCACCCGAAAGACAAAACACCCATACACAAACAGAGTGGTGCAGTGTATGTGGTCCAGTGCAGCGAGGACTGTCCAGACCTCTACACTGGAGAAACTAAACAGCCTCTTCACAGACGCATGGCTCAACACAGGAGAGCCACCTCCTCTGGACAAGATTCAGCTGTTCACCTCCACCTCACAGATAAGGGACACTCTTTTGAGGACCAAAATGTGCACATTTTGGACCGAGAACACTGATGGTTTGAGAGGGGGGTTAAGGAAGCAATTTATGTAAAAAGAGAAAAGCCGTCTCTTAACAGAGGAGGAGGCCTCAGATTTCCACTTTCAAAAACATATAATGCAACTTTAAAACAGATTCCCAGCCGGTTTTCACACCTGATGGAAACAGAGGAGCCTCGTCTGTGAATTAGAGGAACAAAAGACTCTTACTGTTAATGTGTTTAGGTGTGAATTGCCAATCTACATATGTGTGTGTGTCTTATCTCACTCAGCCTTATAACCTGAATCTCTCACTCTCTGCTCTTTGAATTGAGAAAGCTCCTCGGATGAGGCGCGAAACGTCTTCTGTTACAAATCAAGTCCAGTTGTTTTTGTATTGAACGTTTTTTTAATTCAACTTGAGATTGTTCTGTGGAAGGAAGACAGAGTCAAAAACAAAGTCTGAGAAGTGGTTCTGAATACAGACAAAGATTTATTTTACCTTCACAGCATGGAAAGGGAGACTGTCTCACATGCACCTTATATCCATCAAAAACACGTTACAAATGTCTTTGCTTCGTTTAAATACAGCGTTATCTGGGATTTCCTTATCATGATGTTGTTCTCTTGGTCAGTCGATGCTCGTGGTCTGGCATGGTCTCGTTTTTTCGCCCACTGCCCCAGCTGACAGTGGTCTGTTCCAGCAAGATAGCAACAGTCTCTGGTTCTCTTGTACAAGGAGTTAGGCACATCATGAACTTCTATGACGTACATCATGATTTTGCAGTTTTTACCATACACAGAGAAATATTTTACGTCAGAGCATAGCAAAAAAGATGACATTATACAACAGTACCCAAAACATTATGAACAAGTGGTTTTTATTTTTCAATAGATTTCAGACCTTTAAAATAGTAACATGAATTCAAACAATTTATAGTTCACATAAAAAAACCTGAGTTTCTTGTTTGCGATTAACACTTTTTTTGATGGTTTCATCTCTAAAAGCTCATCTTCTGGTGTTTTTTAGCTTCAAAGTTTTACAATCCATTAACATGCAAAAGTCTTAAGCCATCCCTTTATTTATTGCACTGTAAAAAAAAACCTGTAGTTTTTACAGGAAAACTCTGGCAGCT